TAGTTTTCATCAGTAAATTAGTATAACTGTGACAACAACGTTCAGTTTCTGTGAGGTCACAATGGGTGTTGGATATAGTACAACGGTGAGGCAGTATTCAGTACTCACATACGACTGGATGAACTGGGGTCTGATACACTGAAGTTCCCGGATGGTCAGGTAAATGTCCACTTCCTTGTCCAGTCTGAGTCTGCTGATGATGTTGAGGATGCTGCAGAACACTCCACACAGTCGGGCACCGTCACTGTAACGAGACCAGGGGGATAGGATGGAACAAACAGTATTGTTTTCTTGTCTTGAACTATACTTCCAAATGTTGTTGCATATTCATCTTTTGTAAGAACTATTTTGAACAGAAACTACTCACGGACAATGCACAAGTGTCTTGTGTTCTTCAGAAGTACCCTTAGTGTCGATCTCATTCACGAACTCCAGCATAGCTTCTGTGCTCCCAGGGATGCAGGATTTCATCTTGTACACTGTGATCAGGCGACTTGAATCGATCTGGAAACCATACACATTACAGTGAACTTGATATTGTTGTAAGTAGCATTCTCGTGGCATCAGTCTTTACGTCTGATCAAGAGTGTATTTATAATGTGCACGATGTAAAGTGATAGATTGTAGTACATGTATACCCCCTGCCCTCAGACACCTACTTTAGTACAAACAAACAACTTTAATGGAGATTGGGTAGTCATGCTCTACAAATCTGCAGCTTTGTGTCCTTTTTTGGGGTTTGATGTGTTGATCCAATTTCATTATAATCAGATAGATCTTAGATCTCGCTTCCGCTAAACAAAGATATGAGGACATCTCATTAAGGGTCACGTCAGAAAGACGTTTTATCCGACCAATCAGAGCGTCGCCTACCAGATCATGAAAAAGACAGTTGGAATCCGATTTCTGATCACGCATGCTCCAAAGATTTAACACGGGGTATTCCAAACGACAATCACAGGTTTTGCTACTGAATCCAGACAATCTAGGTCATCTACTTGCCATTCTAGAATGTTCGTTTGTTGCGTTCTCAAATTTTAAATCGAGAAGTTGTCAAAACAAGTTTCAAAACATAGCCGCCAGTTTGAAACTAAAGCCGCAGAGCATGAGAAAGCTGCCTTTCAGATTGGCTAATGTCGTCTCTTGTCAGTCATTCCATTGGTCGGTCAAAATTCGCGAAAGGTTGGTCTGATGTGACCCTTTACTTCAGCAGAAGCAAAAACTAAGATCTGATTGAATGAGATTGGACCAACACACCACGCCCGATATAAGTGACACCAATTATCAAATTCAGAGACCTTGGCTACCCAATCTGATTTAAATGCCTGAGACAGACTCGATTATCTACAGTACACAGTGACATTGCTAGAATATTGTTGACTATATTCACTCACAGACTTCCTGATACGAAAATGATATGAACTGATATGATGTAATCATATCATCATAAATATTATGTGCTTTAATATGGCACAATATGATTTGACGACTGGTCAATGAGGTCGCACCTCTTCATTCAGTGTTACTGTTATTTGAACGATGGAAAAGATGTCTCTTGTAGTGTCCTCTGTGCTGTGTGTGACTCGGAAAGGTCCCATCTCCAACACTTGATCCTTCATGGGATACAGTCTCTGAAAGGTTAACCTTGAGATGAATGCGAAAATAAATGCATTTGAGATTGTCATTAACTCAAATAAGACATATATGTAGTTCCCAATGATCACCTGCAATTTCGTCACCAAAGAAAACCTACAGACATATCAAAACTGAAAATATTATAAGAAACCACAGTATTTATTTAATTCATCAATGACAACTTATATTGTTTATGAAGCACGTGTTGATAGCATTACATGTACCATATTTGAAGTTTGAAAGAACTGCAAAATAGTATAGGCTACGTTTGTTTACTTCAAATAAACATATTCAGAATAAGGGAAAAAAACAGGGAGCGTTGGATGGTACGTTAATCAAAAATGATCTGAAGTGTTCGCAAACTATTGACCGCGCATTTTATTAGGCTTTCTGCAAGGCTGTTGTTAGGCCCTCATGCCATTTGCAGCAGTGTCTGTTGACTACTTCTTCTTCTGCAGTGTAGTGTGACGAGCTGATGCCCAGGTTTGATGTCACAACTGAACACTATGTTTACAAAAGCGGAGTAAATCCTTGTGTGCGATACCAACCTTATCGTCTTCGAGACAGACAATGGCGAAACAGTCGTGATCATACACCAGTCTCCAAAAGTCAACAACAGTCGGTGTCACTGGTGTCTGGGTTGCTATTATACCTTTGGCACGTGTGGCAGACTGGAGTCAAAACAAATCAAACAATGATCATCGTTATCATGCATGGAACAAACAGTGGCAAAGGGTTTTAACATCAATATGAATACTGAAACAGATCCCTGCAGATAAACACTATAACCATGTGATATTTCATGATTTCTACTGATGCAAAGAAGACAGCAGTCAACTTACTGGAAGCACTACTGCGTTGATGTATTCATTATGGCCTGGCACGGGAGTGGAAAGATAGGGTCGTACATTGTTCGCTGAAAGAATAATGACATTTGTTATTTCATAAAAAAGATATGGTGAGTAATCTTGGGTGTTCCCTAAACTGAACACCGATAGTGTGGTAGTATATATCAGATCTAAACATAGATTACGACGCAAGAACGAACATATATACTCATGGCTCTCTCGTTAAAATGAAGGCGTCTTAGTCAGTTTAATCTTGGTCCTCGTGCTTTGAGGATGGAGTTAGTCTAACCTAAAGTGTAATAATGTTATATTCATCTGACGCAGTCACAGTGATTAGGCAGTGTGTATTTTGTGTCAAAAATTGGAATTGCATATCTTTGTTTGTTATTTCTAAACATTATTAATCCTGTATGACGATTGCACGTACAATCTTGTGGATTCAAATTTTGAACAAGGTGCGTGTTATTTAGAAATAATATTAACTAATAGTACCTAAAAATATCTTAATGTGAATGTGGGTGGATGGAATGCCCGCTGACCGACACAAGTTCCAATTCGTCCTTATGACAGGACTTTGATCCTTCGAACAGATTGCAGAAGGGACAAAATGTTAACATCGAGTCGTTGACTCATAAAATGTCAACACGTAGAAGTATTTTGATACTGACTTCACCTGGTACAATGTCTTGATTCCTGTTTTTGCTTCTGTTCTCTGGGAGTTGAGCTGCAGACACTGCATCATCATCTACGTCCTGCTGAATCGCTTTGAGTGACTGCGGAAACAAGCAATGTAGGGTACGGTGTGTTCATTAATTTCACACATCTTTGATGACTAATTAATATGGGAGAAAACATATATAGACAGTATACATGTAATCCAAGACATTTAATATATATATATATATATATATATATATATATATATATATATATATATATATATATAGTGATTTTAGAAGCTGAAGCACCAGGATTAGCTTTAATAGTTCTGACATTATTAGACAGCTGGGTATTCATTGCATCGGCTTACCTTGACTACATCACATAGAATCACCTAACATCACTGTTGTAACATGATGTTGTTCGTCCCTGTGTATATGTAACCTTAGGTATATAACCATGTCCTACCTACGTGTTTGATACAAGCATCTGTACCAAAACGTGACATAAATAAATAAAAGTTTAAATCCTTCAGTCATTTCCGTCATCACATTCAAGCTGGTTAGATTATTTACGCAAATGTTACTGGTCCAGTCAAAACAGTTAGTGAGAGAGTATGTTTTACACCACTTTTACCAAGAGTCCAGCTATATCACAGAACCGTGACGTGTGAGCATTTTATCCACTTTGCAAAGCCCCCTTCCAACAACACAATAACGCAGCATTATTTCGTGGCCCATTAGCTGTACCTGAAACTGCCTGCTCATCTCCGCCTCTTCGTGTCTGGTGTATGTCAAACCACTTCCAATTGTTCTCTCAAATTCAGCAGAGGTATAATAAGTCCCAATGCTCCCAAGAGCTTCAAGAAGAACATCATGAACAAAGCGGTACTGCTCCTGGAAACATGCAAAACGTGTTTATAAAAAATGTCGTCATTAGAATGTAGTCTCTTTCAATGTGAGTTAAGTGGTTATCATATATAACTGAAAAAGTAACATAATTGTCATGATGCTACCAAACAATAATGTTTAGCCTCTTCACAGTTTGGACTTACCACAGTCTGCACCATGTTCATCCTAGCCTCTCTCATCTTAGACACACACGAGAACACGTTTACTTTGTTCAGAGACTCGGCTTCATCAAAGAGGTTGTCGAGCGCAATGAACGTCCCCGTACGTCCAACGCCAGCGCTGAAGCCATGAAAAAAAAAGTTGCCAGCAAATCAGATATGCAGGTGAGTCATTTGGAGATCAGATACACAGTAGGTCACAAAAAGAAAACAAGAGCAAGTTATTAATTACAAGGCAATTATATACAAAGGTGAAGTACTCGGACATCACAAATACAGTGATGATAAGGAGATACAGAAACTTCAGTCATCAAGGGATCACATATTAGAGAAACGGTATGAACCTATTCTTCATTTCCCATTATGTTCTTGCAGATACGTTTCCCAAGTGTACATGGCAATAATGCGGTAATTCGATATTATTATAGTACAGGAAACTGAGGCACAGGATGTTGTAGAAAAAGATGAAAATGTCTACACACATTCCAACTTATATTAAGCATGGTTTGATATGAATCCTGCAGTTTTGCTGTCAACATAAGGGTAAATCTTTAAAATGAGGATTACATAATATAGGTAAAAAGAATATGTAAAAGTGAAAGGATAAGTGTATCCGACTGTATATCACTGGGTATGCTGGATACATATGAAGGTATAAGGGGTCTTTAGACATCCTCTGGACACGGGTATCGCTGTGCAGGTTTTCAGACGACGAGTTGAATGGCTCAGGATATTTTGTTTCTATTTGAAAGCACAATCATATCTTGGAAATGTCACAGGCAACATACCTGCAGTGAACTACAACAGGTCCGGTAATGTCCTCCTCTGATGACGTCAGACTCCTGTACTGCTTCCAGAAGCCGACCAGAGCCGGCGCAGAAGGAACATCGTGGTCAGGCCAGGACGTGAAGTGAAGCTGCGTCACTGTCCTCTTGTCAGAGGGCTAGAAATAGCATCTCAAATGAAACAGATCTACAGGTCTCATATGGGATGGGGGCGGTCGGGTAGCCTAGTGGTTTAAGCGTTCACTCGTCATGCCGAAGGCCCAGGTTCGATTCCCGACAATGTGTGAAGCCCATTACTGGTGTACCTCGCCGTGATATTGCTGGAGTATTGCTAAAAGCGGCATAAAAGCATACTCACTCATTCACTCACTCATATGGAACAGAGGAAGTGTCAATTCTGATAACAACATATTGCACAACTCCGATTTCCTTAAATTAACTATTTTGAAGTACAAATAATGATAATGATAAAAGCGACAAACCCCTTTTTAATAGCCACAAGAAATATCCAAGATGGTTAACAGTGACTGTCTCATTACCGTTTCATTCTACCGGGTACCCATTCACAGATAGGTAAACAGAGGCATATTTCGAACAAAGTAACATGCCTCAGGAGATGTGCAACCTATGTGCAACATGTGCTTCAGTATCGCGCAGGACCAAAAGACCTACTTTCGTAGAATGGTGAACACTGTATCTTCTGATGGTAAAGTCCGCCCTGACTGTGGCCAACAGTGGCTTGATGACAATGCGACCACATATCTTCTGTTCGTTCTCGTCAGGCCAGTATTGTTCGCACTTTTTCTGTAAAAAAAGTGGATGGTTATGTGCATCCTTGATTTAGACTAACTGCAAAATGTAACGTTTTAACACTTAATGTGTAGGTAATATAATTAATATCTGAAAAGGTCAATAATGCACCTCTGATTCTAATTTTAGACGGCTCCCAAAAACCTATCAGTTATATCGAGGTTGCTCGAGGGAAGACAAAGACATAAAGACGTTTGTTACCACAGATTATTACAAGAGGATTGTGTTCAAGTAAACTCTTTCCTCTTTAGTTTAGCTTACCCTGTTTAGTTCCATGACTCTAGTTAGCATGATGATTATCGATACGTTTTCCTGCCACACCATCCTCCAGAAATCGTTCACAGTGACAGGGTTTGGTCCTGGAATATAATTACCATGACCATGACCATTTTTGAAATAGTGTGTGTCCATGATTAATGAAGAGAGGTATGACTCTGACGTTGGTAGTGTGATGGGGAATTCCGAGTCAGAAGAGGCCGACGCGTGAAGATTCGGGTTAGAACAGGTCTCCAGCAACCCATGCTTTTGGTCTGAAGAGGCGTCTAACGGTATCGGGTGGTCTGGCTCACTGACTTGGTTGATGCATGTCATCATATCCCAATTGTGCGGATCGATGTTCATGATATCAATCACAGGATTGTCTGATCAAGACGCGATCATTTAAAGACCGCCGTCATATATCTGGAATATTGTTGGATGTGGCGTTAACCAACAAACAAATAAACAAACAAACAAACAGAGGAGGTCCTCCAAAATCATGTACGTAAGCAGAACCGTTCACATGTGCATTTTGTAGGATTGCAACGAAGGAAATGATATAGTAATATTGGTCTATAAATGTTTAATAATAACGTTCAAGACATATACCTTGTGCAGCAATGAACACACTGGATTCGGAGAAGCCCTGAAACGTAACAAACGTATTGTGCAGTGACAGATGACGAACACATTATACGAAATTACTTTTCATTCATTTATTTGCAAGGGGCAGTTTTGAATAATATACATTCGGGAATAGCTAACCATTTGATTAAGTGTGGCTTACAGTTATGTAGCTGGCGTGGATATAGTCCCATGTGGCATCACCATCTGGCATCAGAACAACGCGACTGTCGTCATCTGTTCAAAAGAGAAATGAGGATATGTTTTCATTTCAGAGGAAACACTTAATGGAGACACTATTTAGAATTCACACCATTAAGGAATTTGAATTATAAATTTATATTATAGAGCAACGTTAACGCGTTCAAAATAAGGGTTCCTTACCACTGCATGAGACAAATGTGAATATTAGTCAGTATATATCTTCTTCCAATCATTTATATATCACATCAAACGTATTATCTGATATCCTGAAACTTTCATTTACACATGACTGTGACATTCACATATGTAGTAGGTCATATATAGTCAAAATATACAAAAATACTGATCTGGAAAAGGAATGTTCTGCAATCATTATTAACAGGACTACAATGTTCAGCATGCTAAGGCGATAATTTGATAATTGTATGATTCAGATTTCAGTGTGAAAGTGAGAATGTGATGTGTGAACAATTCATATGGAGCCAAAGACTTAATGTATTAAATGGAGCCAGCCATTATTATTTCAAATGGGGTTCGAATCCTATTTAAGTTTTGTTTTTTATTAACCACCACACACAATTACACGCCATTGGAAAACAATACCCCAAAACGTACATGTACGCCTATAATAGACTGTTATATATACACTATTATTTTTCTAAAACTCACATGGAAATAGTTCCAAGAAACGGTTCCTCTTTTTATTTTCAGGTTTTCTCCCTTCGACATGAGCTCCGTGTATTCCGTAACGGAGTAGCTATAAATATAAAACGCCAATGCAAAGGGAATAACCAGGCTCAATTATCTGCCGAAACAGATTCCATTTGGAATACATGGCAAAATAGCTGTGAAACCTTTGTGAATGGACAACTGAAAATCAGCGATAACACCAGGTATTCGCGAAAAGGGTAGGCATGTCCAGCCCTGCCGGTAGCACCAGCCATTCTCACAAAAGTAAGTATTTATTAGCTGACGCCGCATAGCAGTACTCTTGCTGTAAACAAACCAGACAATCGAGTGATCGATGGACCAGATAATCCAGTGACACGGCAGTGCATTTACTGATTTTGTTTCTTGTAAACTAGTAAAACCAATATATTAATTTTAAATTACGTCTTTGTACAAACGAAGAGATTATGCTGCGTAATTACAAGTAAAAAAACCCGTTTAAGAACTAGATTGTTTAGCAAGTGGGATGGGAATAGAAGGGGGAGCAATTTAGTCTCTTGAAAGAATTGCATCCCTGTATTTCATATTGAGTGTGTATCCATGTGGACTGCGTCATAAACAAAGCATGGAGGTAACCCATACGGCACGATTTCGATTGGCCAAACAGTTAGGGATACACATACTTTTGTTTCCTCTGTTGCATGAAGTCAACATGGAAACAAACGAAGCACCAATATTATAGATACCCACACGCCCGAATAACGCCATGATAATGCCGCGCTTTTGCGAAACGAATGAAAATGTGCTTTTAATTTTAGATTACTGCTGTATTTATCAATTTAACCAAGCCCTACCTTGTACTCGTGTTCGAATCCCACGCCTGTCTCTCTGTCCCTGACGTACTGCTTGAGCCTGTCCAGGGACACAGGAGCTGGGACGACGTTGTAGTATGGCTCCGAGTTCTCGTACACGTTGTCTGCAGGAGGCTTTGGTTTCTTAGCAGGCTTTTCAGGTGGCGCAGGTTTACCTGCAGCAGGAGTGTCTTTCTCACCTTAAACAAGAGCAATAAGACATTAATGCAACATCTATGCCCTTAAAAAGATATGCTACTAAATAGGGTGTCTGATGTATTGACTATGAACGTGTACTTATACCCTATGTGTGATGGTTGTATTGAAATGTGTACATGTCAACATACGCGACACGACGTAATTATTATTATCACATTCGGTGTTAGGTACTCCTGCTATAGACAGAGATAAAGCATAGCATGATCATCAGTGCGAGCAGATTGTGGTTCCTGATTTGCTATAAAAGGGAAAATTCTAAAACGAGAATAACAGTTCATAACCGTAGTACTAACATGTAAGGACACACCTTTTACTTTACCGAGAGAAATTGTATTTTCTTCTTCTTGAGACTTCATATTACGTCTTCTGGAACATAAACCATCCTCTGTTTTAATGTGTATGTACATGTTAGTACAATTAATGGTAGTTTCCGTAGAACTAACACTCATTGCATACACGTCTTTAGAAGTGTGGTACAATGTGCAATGCCAAACAACTTTTATAATGTTTATTACTGTCATAGTGTGTTCCGTTGTGTATATTCAAGTAAAACCTTCCATATATGCTTCAGTGGTTGTGTGACTGAATATTGCTTGACGTCAAAGTGAGCAATATTCCGGCTATACGTCACGATCTGTAAAACATCGAGTCTGGCAGGCGGGTGACTGAAGTTAAGATGTTCGGGCCATGCCACCAAGATCATTGTGTCTGACTGTCCGATACAAAACGGTATTTTTAGTATGACACATACCTCTTGATGACGACCAACAGGACTACGAGGATCACTGCCACTAGTACAGCTACAGCCGCGCCACTTATTGCACCAACTGTAGAACTGGATATGGAACCGTCGCCCTTTTGGGAGCTTGTAGACACTATAATATTAAAAAGTCAAAAACATGCTTTGGTTCATGAGTGAGTTATTAAAGTGTTACGTGCGATTAAATTTGATATAACTATTTCATTTCAGGGTAGACTAGGAAAGATATTGGCACTAATTGAAGACGTATTGATATTCCAAAACATTTTCTAACGGTCGCAAATAAATAATATCAAATGTCTTTATTAACGTCTAGAATGAAGGAGTGGAAACTTGTTAAATACCTAAAGCTGTTGATCTACTCACGTTTGCAGGAATCACCCTTGTAGCCTTCCTCGCACCCAAGTATGCATGAGCCATTGGAGGGCTGACATGTCCCATTAAGACAGTTGCCACAGGGATATTGGCAGTTTTCTCCATAGGTGTTGTTGACACACTCTATACCCATGAAAATGTGAAGGCTGATTTTTATGAAACTGTTAGGGAATCAGTTTTACTTCATACTATCATTCAGTTTTCCATTTTGTTTACTGGCTGACGCTGGTACAATTATGTATGTATAATTTGCTTATTGATTGTGCAAGGTATTCTTAAAATATTTGAAGTCAATCCTCATTCCTCATACATGACATGCAAGATTTGGTCGTAACCCTTCTTAGAGAGACCATTACATTTCCAATTCACCATGTGTAACGGAGCATTTTTGGAAGATGCCTTCTCTTTAATTGTTTAAATATTGGCCATGGCTTACCTTGTTGACAGAGTGGACCTTCATAGCCAGGCTGACATCCTTTAGTGCACTTTCCATCTTGTGAGTTGCAGTTGCCTCCCTTGCATTGGCCACAAGCAGAACAGCTGGAACCATAATAGCCATCACCACATTCTGAAAGCAGATGTTGTGATAGGCTTAATGACGCACATTCTGAAAGCAGATGTTGTGATAGGCTTAATGACGCACATTCTGAAAGCAGATGTTGTGAGAGGCTTAATGACGCACATTCTGAAAGCAGATGTTGTGAGAGGCTTAATGACGCACATTCTGAAAGTAGATGTTGTGAGAGGCTTAATGACGCACATTCTGAAAGTAGATGTTGTGATAGGCTTAATGACGCACATTCTGAAAGCAGATGTTGTGATAGGCTTAATGACGCACATTCTGAAAGCAGATGTTGTGAGAGGCTAAATGACGCACATTCTGAAAGTAGATGTTGTGAGAGGCTTAATGACGCACATTCTGAAAGCAGATGTTGTGATAGGCTAAATGACGCACATTCTGAAAGTAGATGTTGTGAGAGGCTTAATGACGCACATTCTGAAAGCAGATGTTGTGATAGGCTTAATGACGCACATTCTGAAAGCAGATGTTGTGATAGGCTTAATGACGCACATTCTGAAAGCAGATGTTGTGAGAGGCTTAATGACGCACATTCTGAAAGCAGATGTTGTGATAGGCTTAATGACGCACATTCGGAAAGAAGATGTTGTGAGAGGCTTAATGACGCAAATTCTGAAAGCAGATGTTGCGAGAGGCTTAATGACCCATATTCTGAAAGCAGATGTTGTGAGAGGCTTATTGACGCGCATTCTGAAAGTAGATGTTGTGAGTGGTTTATTGACGCGCATTCTGAAAGTAGATGTTGTGACAGGCTAAATGATGCACATTATGAAAGTAGATGTTGTGACAGGCTAAATGACGCACATTCTGAAAGCAGATGTTGTGACAGGCTAAATGATGCACTTTCTGAAAGCAGATGTTGTGACAGGCTAAATGATGCACATTATGAAAGTAGATGTTGTGACAGGCTAAATGACGCACATTCTGAAAGCAGATGTTGTGACAGGCTAAATGACGCACATTCTGAAAGCAGATGTTGTGAGAGGTTTAATGACCCATATTCTGAAAGCAGATGTTGTGAGAGGCTTAATGACGCACATTCTGAAAGCAGATGTTGTGACAGGCTTAATGACGCGCATTCTGAAAGTAAATGTTGTGAGTGGCTTATTGACGCCCATTCTGAAAGCAGATGTTGTGAGAGGCTAAATGACGCACATTCTGAAAGCAGATGTTGTGAGAGGCTAAATGACGCACATTCTGAAAGTAGATGTTGTGAGAGGCTTAATGACGCACATTCTGAAAGCAGATGTTGTGATAGGCTAAATGACGCACATTCTGAAAGTAGATGTTGTGAGAGGCTTAATGACGCACATTCTGAAAGCAGATGTTGTGATAGGCTTAATGACGCACATTCTGAAAGCAGATGTTGTGATAGGCTTAATGACGCACATTCTGAAAGCAGATGTTGTGAGAGGCTTAATGACGCACATTCTGAAAGCAGATGTTGTGATAGGCTTAATGACGCACATTCTGAAAGAAGATGTTGTGAGAGGCTTAATGACGCAAATTCTGAAAGCAGATGTTGCGAGAGGCTTAATGACCCATATTCTGAAAGCAGATGTTGTGAGAGGCTTATTGACGCGCATTCTGAAAGTAGATGTTGTGAGTGGTTTATTGACGCGCATTCTGAAAGTAGATGTTGTGAGAGGCTTAATGACGCACATTCTGAAAGCAGATGTTGTGAGAGGCTAAATGACGCACATTCTGAAAGTAGATGTTGTGAGAGGCTTAATGACGCACATTCTGAAAGCAGATGTTGTGAGAGGCTAAATGACGCACATTCTGAAAGCAGATGTTGTGACAGGCTAAATGACGCACATTCTGAAAGCAGATGTTGTGAGAGGTTTAATGACCCATATTCTGAAAGCAGATGTTGTGAGAGGCTTAAGACGCACATTCTGAAAGCAGATGTTGTGATAGGCTTAATGACGCACATTCTGAAAGCAGATGTTGTGATAGGCTTATTGACGCAAATTCTGAAAACAGTTGTTGTGACAGGCTTAATGACGCACATTCTGAAAGCAGATGTTGTGAGTGGCTTATTGACGCACATTCTGAAAGCAGATGTTGTGACAGGCTAAATGACGCTCATTCTGAAAGCAGATGTTGTGACAGGCTAAATGACGCTCATTCTGAAAGCAGATGTTGTGACAGGCTAAATGACGCACATTTTGAAAGCAGATGTTGTGACAGGCTAAATGACGCACATTCTGAAAGCAGATGTTGTGACAGGCTTACTGACGCACATTCTGAAAGCAGATGTTGTGAGAGGTTTAATGACGCACATTCTGAAAGTAGTTTTTGTGACAGGCTAAATGACGCACATTCGGAAAACAGTTGTTGTGACAGGCTAAATGACGCACATTCTGAAAGCAGATATTGTGATAGGCTTAATGACGCACATTCTGAAAGCAGATGTTGTGACAGGCTAAATGACGTACATTCTGAAAGCAGATGTTGTGAGTGGCTTATTGACGCACATTCTGAAAGCAGATGTTGTGACAGGCTAAATGACGCACATTCTGAAAGCAGATGTTGTGAGTGGCTTATTGACGCAAATTCTGAAAGCAGATGTTGTGACAGGCTAAATGACGCACATTTTGAAAGCAGATGTTGTGACAGGCTAAATGACGCACATTCTGAAAGCGGATGTTTTGAGAGGTTTAATGACGCACATTCTGAAAGTAGTTTTTGTGACAGGCTAAATGACGCACATTCGGAAAACAGTTGTTGTGACAGGCTAAATGACGCACATTCTGAAAGCAGATATTGTGATAGGCTTAATGACGCACATTCTGAAAGGAGATATTGACAAAGACTCAGTGACCAAAATTTTGAAAGCAGATATTGTGAGAGGCTTAATGACGCATATTCTGAAACTTGACGCAGATCAAACATTCAATGTCACTCAGCAGGCAGTTATTTTTAATTGAAATGATATAAAATTGTGTGTGGAGTTATTTCCATACTTACTAAAGTGTGATTAAGATAATCTGCCTGAGTATTGGTATTAATCAGGATCTCAGGTATTAAGTCTATTACTATCGGCATTGAGCAATATCTCTAGAAACACACTGATTTTCACTGTTCCATTCGTACACTTTTCACAGCTATTTTGCCATTGACGCCAAATGGAATCTGTTTCGGCGGACAATGAAAACTGGTTATTCTTTTGACGCTGAGTGACGCTTTAGATTTGTTTGTTACACTATTGTGGTTTTTTTGTGAAACGTATCTGGTCTTTGACCATTGTTAATACAATATAAACGTATATATGGAGCTGCTAGACAGTATGATTCTTCACTGAATCATTACTCAAATATAAGTGACAATACTTTTGCCATAATCATGAGAAATCGCTGTCCATTGTACGATTCCCACTATTTCATAGCATGTGCTTATGAAGCTCTATTTATAGCGTTTTGTGCCCTATCGATCGGCCATCCGGTAAAATCACCATCAAGCAAGGCTTCAGGATGAAGTTCAGTGCTGCTTAGTAGGATAGATTGATGGATGATCGAGTTTTTCTTTATTTAAGCTCCAAACATGTACTTCTTATTTTCCATTTTAGTGTCTGTACAGCATGATCAGAAACGTAATTTACACATGTCATTTATTTGAGATAATGTTGCTATATTATTACCTTTACACAAAGGCCCTTTGAAACCATTGCTGCACCCTTCAAGGCAGCTTCCATTCACATGGTGACAAGTTGTTGATGTACGACACTGGCCACAACTTGACGAACAGTTCACTCCAAAAAATGTGTCAGGACACTCTTTTAAAATGGAATAGAATAACCATTTAAAGGCAGAAAGGAGAATAAGTATTACTGTGTAGGAGTGATCATATCATGTTTAACGTTTATCACAAACCTACATCAAACCATAATGCTGTGTATCAGTAAGTACAAATTGGAACTGACATTGTGATGCCAATATAATATATATCTATTTCCACGTATGACCTTATCACTACTTTTTACTATATTGACTCCAGATGAAATAAGATATTTTACCTGTGTTAATGAAAGATAAGTTGTATTCTGAGACGTTTCATTAGATGATATCATAGGCATAAATTCGATTCAGTGCGAAAGATCGCACTGCAGACACTACAATAACCAACATATACAAGTAAATTCATGTTCTCCACAAAGTCGGGATAGAATGTGTCTATGTTGTTACATACTGTCATGGCACAGCGGGCGTTGATATCCAGCCTCACACCCAGTAAAACATGTCCCATCTTGCCTGGAGCAGTTGGTGTTGTCCTGACAGTGTCCACACTCCCTGCAGGGCGACCCGTAGGAACCAGCCGCACATGCTGTGTATCAATAAGTACAATTGCAACTGACATTGTGATGACAAAATATTGTATTTATTCCCATTTGTGATTTAATCACTACTTTTAAATATATTGAATCCAGATGAACTAACATATGTTACCTGTGCTACACAGTGGAGGTCCATATCCAGGTTTACAGCCAGTCAAACATGTCCCATTTAGCACAGAACATGGGGAATCGCCCTTACAGTGTCCA